TGTTTCCAAGTTTTATCTGTTACAAACTGTGCTGCTATAAACATTGCTGTGGTATGATTCTTTTAATTCTTTTTTTTTTTTTTTCTGGTACTGGGGATTGAACTCGGGACCTTGAGCTTGAAAGGCAGGCAGCAGCACCATTGAGCTACATCCCTGGCCCTTGATTCTTTTAATTCTTTTGGGAAGATACCCAGTAGGGAAATATCTGGGTCAAGTGGGACCTCTAATCCTAATTCTTTGAAGTATCTTCCATACTGATTTCCACAGTTGTTTGCACCAGTCTACACTCCCACCAATAGTGGAGCAGGGTTCCTTTCTCCTCATAGCCCCATCAGCATTTGTAATTGGTTGATTTCATGATAGCAGCCATTCTTTCTGGGATGAGGTGGAATCTCAGCATTGTTTTCATTTGCATCTCTCGAATGACCGGTGATGTTGAACTTTTTATATATACTTGCTATTTCTATTTCTTTGTCTGAGAAATGTTTGTTCATTTCAGATGCCCATTTTTGGATTGGGTCTTTAAATTTGGGAGGTCTGACTTTTTAAAGTTCTTTATATGGAATGATTTTTTTTTAACCTAAGGAAATTATGTTTTGAAGGCCAGTATACCTACACTAGAGATGCAGTGTTTATAAATCAAATCTTTTCTGTTCCTAAATCAGCGTAAAGTCCTGGGAAATCAGATGATGTCAGAAAAGAAAAACAAGTACCCTACTCCAGAATCTGTGGCCATGGGTGAATTGAAGAATGCCAGCAAAGAAAATATGAACTTAGTAAGATACTGTTCTGTGGACTTTCTGGGTGTGTACATCTGTAGAAATGAGGAAACTGATATACTGTCATTTGGTTTACTGTGTTTCTCTTGGCCATTCAGCTGTTTACAACTATTTTAACATTTAGCTATTCAACTATTAAACTTCTCAGTCCTTTTATTTGTACTATTTTCTTTCAGTGGGTTTCATTGAATCATTTCTAATGTCTCATTTCTAAAGTCTCATCTTGAGTTCAGGAAGGATATAGCTAGTCACAAGCACAGATGACCAATGCAATGCAGTAGCTCAGAAACAAGTACTGGAAATTATAGTTAATTCTTCTTGGGAGACCTCACCGTGTACATGTGAGCCAAGTCTCCTTGGCTCTGCATTACCTGTGGGGTACTTCTTAAAGGTATCCCAGGCATAGCTACTTCACTAAATCAGCATGCATCAGTTAAGATTAATGAGGTATAAATATGTCAGCCTTGGTAAGACTCCTCACATTGAAATTGAACGAGTAAATAATTCCTGTTCGTAAGGTCTATCTATAACACTGACATTAGTCCATATCATTTTCTTGTTGCAGTTATTTTCTAGCTCTCCCACTGTCGTGATGACACCAACAAGGTTGAAATGGCCTGAGGGGAAGAAAGAGGGGAAAAAAGGTATCAGTTGTACTTAATCTCTGTTTTTATTGAATATAGTTCCTTTCTGTATGTAGTCAGTCAGCCATGTTTGTTTTGAATTCCTGTAGTATAATTGTAGTCAGGAAGAATATAAAAATGACAAGGCCAGGTCTTTACCCTTGAATTCCTTCATTAGATGGATATACTACTCAGTTCTTACTCCCCTAGGTATTGAGGGGCAGAGCCTGAAACAGATGACCACCTGATTCCTGCCATGTTCAATGGCCGCGTCACAGGCATAAGCTATATTAAGAGTGCTTGTTAAGAAATTAAAAGCAAATGTAATTTGAGACCAAGAGCAGCAGTGCTAAGAGTTTGTATGGTCATAGAAGCATCCTAGGTGTTGAAGGGTCCTGGAAATCATATTGTGCAATGGCTATTTAGTCCAGAATGGATTCTTTAATGGATTTTAAAATTTTGATTCTGGCAAGAGAATCTGTGCTTTCCTCTGAAGGAGCTGGTTACTCACTGGAAAGAAAGATCATGAGATTTATGTTAGGCCCTAATTGAGTCTTTATTCTCACCACCCAAATCACTCATTCTTTCAGAACTCAAGTTTCCTTCTCTCAAAATGAGGCTGAAACAGATTTAGCACTCTTAATCCAGAACTCTGAAAGTTGAGATGCTGTAAAAATCTAAACTTTTTGAGTTCCAAGTATTGTGGCTTTCAGAATTTTGGATTAGGGTTGTTTAACTGGTCTATACAAATATCCCAAAATCCAAACATCTCCAAGATCTGAAACGTGGTTCCAAGAAGTTTGGATGAAGGGTAATTATTCTATAGTTACATCTATTTCACAGGTTTATCATGAGATTCAGCTGAAATAAAATTTTTGAAAAACATAATTGTTAAAGCATCAACAAGTTGTAATAGTTGTTACTAAAAAAAAACAGATCAGACTTGGCCTTGAGATACAAGGTTCATGTAGTAGATGAAGTGTTCTCTGGCCTGAGATGCTCATTTTATCATCAAGACAGCATAATTACTGTTTGAGTCATCAGCAATAGAAAACACACTCAGACACACACGTGCACGCATGCACACACACACAAAGAAACAAAAGAATCATGTGGATAACTATTTTTTTTCTGGAATATTAGATTGTAGTATAGTCTTGTTACTTACATTTGAATGAATTAACTGATCTCTCTCTTCTGTTCTCATTGCTTCTGACTTCTAGGCAGGGCTCACTGATTGAGGCAAGATTGGTGTTTGAGTTATTTTGTTTCTATTTTTTTGTTTTTGGGTACTGGGGATTGAACTCCGGACCTTGTGCTTGCAAAGCAGGCAGTGGAACCACTGAGCTAAATCCCCAGCCAGTGTTTGAGTTATTTATGTCTAAATATTTTTATCCTATGTATGTGAGTCAAAACCAAGCATAAATTATTTTTGAAGGATCTATTGTTGTGTATCAATTATAACTTTTGTCACTTTCATGTCACTTTTTGAAGATGAGCAGGAAGTGATCTAACTTGACAATTCTTTAGAAAGAAAGAAAGGAATTTAACAAATAAGTCAGTGTAATATTTCACCAAGAACTTTTAAAGCAGGGTGCTTTTTTAATTTCTTTCAGCACTGGTAATTGAACTCAGAGCTTTTGCACTGAACTATGCCTTCCATCCTTACCTCCTTTATTTTAATTTTGAGACAGGTCTTGCTAAGTTGCTCAGATGGGCTCTAGCTTGTGACCCTTCTGCATCCACCTCCTGAGTAGCTGGGGTTTCAGGCGTACATCACTATATCTGCTAGAACAGGGAGTCTTGACTTGTTGTCTGTGGACCTACTAAGGTGTCTACTAAAGTTTCTTTTGTTTGTTTATTTTCCATTACCAGGAATTGAACTCTTGTATTTGCCAGGCAGTCATAGTGCCACTGAGCTAAATCCTCAGCCCCATTTGTTCTTTTTTTTTTTTGGTACCGGGGATTGAACTTGGGTCCTTGCGTGTGTGATGCAGGTGGCGGAACCACTGAGCTACATTCCCGGCCCCCCATTTGTTCTTTTTTGAGACATGGTCTCACTATGTAGTTCAGGCTGGCCTTGAACTCATGGTGAGTCTACTGCCTTAGCCTCCTGAGTGCTGGGACTGTAGGCATGCGTCACCACGCCTGGCTTAAAGTTTCAGTTATTGTTAATACAATTTTTTTTTTCTTCAGTACTGGGGATTGAGCCCAGCACCTTAAGCATGCTAGTTAAGTACTGTTCCACTGAGTTACATCCTTGGCCCCTTGAAGATTTTATTTTGAGACAGGTTCTTGCTAAGTTGCTGAGGCTGACATTGATCTTGTGTTCTACTTGTCTTAGCCTCCAGAGTAGCTGGAGTATCGGCATGTGCCATCGTGCCCAGCAATGCAATCTTTTATGTGAGTGCATATGTGCAATTTTTTCATATTTTTATATACAATGCATATATATATATATTCTTAAAAATTATTAGATTCTTAAAATTGTTAATGGTTTAGAAAAGTAAAAGCCCACAGATAATAAATGATGTTCAGTTGGATCAAGCAATGGCACTTTTGCTTTCCTCTCTCTCTGGTCACTTCCTGTGTCCTGAAACAGCTATCTTGGTATAATGATAACTACCCTATTATTGTTCTCTTCCTTCCTCTAATTATTTTCCTTTTACTGGCTTTCTATTGTCTGCGTAGCCATCTGCCTTCATTTGTTGTTGTTCTTAAAATCTATTAAAGTTTTCTGTTCTTCTCTCCTTTTACTCGCACTCCCCTTAGTAGCTTAGTGTATTCCCACAGTCGGTTCTGCTCTCTGAGTGGTAACGAGTCATCAAACAGCATCTCCAGGTCTGAGCTGTCTTCTTCGAGCCTCCAAATCCAGGGCCCTGCCATATATTTCTTTTACACAACAATGCATACAATCTTAGGGTTTTGATATTGATATTTATAGCAGTAACAACTATTCTTTGAAGAAGATAATGCAATTTTATTATCTTCATCAACAACATAATAAAAAACCACTTCTCTTTAGCAAAGAGTGTCTCAACCTTTGCATTGTAGACGTTTTGGGTCATTAATTACTTGTTGTGGGTGTTCCCCTGTGCATTGTATGAAGTTCAGCAGCATCCCTGGCTTCTATCTAGTAGATGACACTGTCACCCTTTACTCTGTTGTGACAAAGAAAAATATTTCCAGACATTACTAAATGTCACCTCAGGAGAATGGAGAAAGTCATCGTTAGATGACAACTGATTTAGTACCTACTTATTAATGGGCATTATTTCCAGCAGCCTAAATTCCACCTCCTCTTTGAAACTGCTAACCCAGCCAGATAGAATTACTATTTTGCTTTGAAGTCTGAGTGATAATATAATTTATGGTATTTATTTTACATGTATTGTCTCATCTCTGTATCTGGTTTATCTTCCAGAAGACTTCATATATTTATAGTCCTTTGTCTCCTACCTTTCCCTGGTAGCCATTTAGTGTGCTTTTTTTTTTTTTGGTGTCAGGGATCAAACTCGGGTCCTTGCACTTGCAAGGCAGGTGGTGGCACCACTGAGCTAAATCCTGGCCCTAGTGTGCATTTGTCGATGAGGATGAGTTCACATTCCCTTAGGAGGCTGGTTCCCTGCTTTCCTGCTTAATAGCTGAATGTCCTAGGACAAGTTCCCTTGTGTAGGCTACAGATTCTTCACCTAAAAAATGGCAGGTAAGGGCCGGGGATTTAGCTCTGTGAGGAAAAACAAGATAATGTATATAAAGAATTTAGAGCAACACTTGTGGCAGAGAATATGCACTTACTACATGGCAGGTGTTTTTGCCAGGAAGATGATTTAATGTCAGGCAGACTAGGTGGTTTTTTTGAAGAGAGTCAGATTCTCAATTTCTTTCTCAAGTTTGAGAAAATATTTAGTATAGACTCTGTAGCTTTTAGGTGGGATGTTTGCAAAAAGTAATATTTATAAACATATCTAATACTCTTGTTTCTCCTTCAACCTAGGATTCTTCTGAAGGATCTAGCGTTCTCCTGTTGTCCACCCAGAATTTAGTGGGCCAGGTGTCATTTCTACTCATAGTGAAGCTTGGACTTGCAGCTTGCTTGCTGCTCTTTGAACTGAGGAAGCCAACTAATCCTGTGACCCAACTGATACCTCTAATCCTACTCACTGGATGACATTTGCAAGCTGTGCCTTCAGAGAGTGCTAGGCTCCCTCTCTCTCTCGTCTTTAATATTATGGGAAAACCACTAACTGGCCAACAGCATATATAGTCAGTAAATGGGCAGAATCGGGGTGCTCCTGTGCTCATTCAGTGTTTTAGGCCAGTTCTATTTTTAAAAACATGAAACAGCTGCCATTTTTAAAAAAAAAGTACTATCAGGGGCTGGGGGTTTAGCTCAGTGGTGCCACCACTTGCCTTGCAAGCGGAAGTTCCAGAGTTCGATCCCCTGTACCCCGCCCAAAAGCCATCAAATTTTAAAAAGTACTGCTAATGGATCGATATTTTGTAACGGATATTTTGAGCTTTTTTCATGTTTTGATATGTTAATTGTTTGTTGTTTATTTGTTTTAAAATCCATTTTCGATGATTGATAATCAAAATGGGCTGTAAGCTGGAAGCTTTTCATCCTTTTTCACCTTAAGCTTTGGGAAAATTCTTTATCTCATAGGGCCATATTCTTTAGTGTCTTATTTGTCTTCAAAGAATTTATAGCTTTCTTGGAAATTTTAAATTATCTTTTTGGATCCAAGATTGCAGAGTATTTGACCTCCAGTGTCAAAAAGGAGAATTCAGAACAATATTTTAGCAAATTTCAGTTATTCAACTCTTTTCCTTTCCTTCCTCTGTTCCTCCTTCCCTTCTTTATCTCTCCAAAACTACCCTTTTTTGTGAAAAAACTGTGGTTATTGAAGTTGTTTCCTTCCCTCGATATCTCTCATCTCCATCTCTGCCAAATCACTGTGACTCATACAGTCACTGACAGCCTTATAGGGGTTTGTTGAAATCTTAGTATGTGATGGAAAGCTCTGGAGCGTGCCCAGGAAGGGGCTGGCTGGCAGGAATCTAAGGCACCTTTCCAGGAGTCAGGTGTGCAGCTAACCATCTCCCAAGAGCAGGTTGAAAGCAGAGGAGGGGAGTGGATGGTCTCTACAGGGCAGGATGAAAGGAGAGAACATTCTTATTTCTTATTAAATAGTTGTGGCTTGTCACCAGTGCTCAAGAGCAATTGCTCTATTGCCCTGTCCTTTCCAGAATAGGCACAGGTAACAATTGGGAGAGAGGGCTGGAGTGTTTGGCTTTTGGGTTGGGCAGTTTCACACAGGTTTGAGGTGAGCAACAGCATGGTGTTGATCTTGAGTATTCATTGCCCAGAGAGTAGTGTGTGGCAGGTGAGAATGTTCAGGTTTATGCCTGGCTTATACCATTCTTAAGCTGTGTGTTAGAGCTGAATTAGATCCTCTGTGGAAAAGAAGGTGCCTAGCAAAATATTGTTTGCTGACCTATCTTTAAACAATTGAAAATACTGCATTATTGCTGAGATGAAAGATGACTCTGGAACAGCAGATTGGCTTTGTGTCTGGCTGTCAGCTCTCTCTTCCCTATTATACTGTTTCTTTTACTGCTGTTATCCTATTTATGGAGAATATATAAAATTTGGCTTTCCAACATGATAGATTGGGGCGCTAAATGTGTAGAAGTATAAAACTGCTTAGAAGCCCTTTATAGCAGTCTTAGGTCATTCTTTGAAATATGTATAAGTAAATTTATATCACTTTTTTTCAGTTTAGGAAAATGTGTTTTCTTATATCAGATAACAGCAAATTCAAACAGAGACCCCCTTTTTAAGGTACTGGGAATTGAACTCAGGACCTTTTGCTTTTGAGGCAGGCAGTGGTACCACTAAGCTAAATTCCCAGCCCCCAAGACCCCTTTTGGTATCACAAAGTCAAAATAGTGTTCTTCCTTAACTTGATTCTTTTTGTTTGTTTGCTTGTTTTTTATAGTACCAGGGATTGAACTCAGGACCTTGTGATTGCGAGGCAGGCAGCGGCACCACTGAGCTAAATCCCTGGCCCCTTGATACTTCTGTCTTTATTCCTTTCAAGTGTGTTTCATCCTGGATAAAACCTGGTGTGGTGGTGGTGTTCTCCTGTGTGTGGTCTGGTATCGGGTAGAGGGAGCAGAGCAGTGACACAGTGCCTGCTTGTCATCCAGTCAGTTTGGTGGTGTTTGAAAGAGGTGGCTAAGACTTAGGAGGATCAGTCACTGAGGACAGTGGGTGAGGATGACGAGAGAGGCGTTTACTCTGTGCACATGCTTGGGCAGTTTACATGAGTATATGGGTGTCTGTGTTTATTGAATATGTGGTAACTTGCTTTAAGGGTATTGTAGGTCATTTTTCTTATAGAAGCTGGGACCCATCTGGAAACCAAATTTGAAGAATAAGCAGCAAAATTTTCTACTTTATAATCCTGTGGAATCTTATGATAAACTCAGAAAAAACCCTTTTCCATTTCATAGAAGGTTACTGTCTTCTTTATGACTTAGTAGGCAGGTATTTTTGAGCCAGTATTTAATGAATTTTTTAACCTGTAAGATGTTTAAAAAATCTCTTTTGTTGTGTTTATTTTTCATATTGGAACATTCTCTATGGAAGTACCTTCTTTTGTGCTTTTAAAGCTTCATTTTTTTTCTGGGATCAGTTGCTGTAGGTTTTGATGTGGTATCAATTTGGGTCAGTGCTTTTGTGCCAGAGGAACACAGCATAAAAACACAGACCATTTTTTTGATTCAGATCTGTTGAGGGGGAGCTGCATTGGGTATATTAGTAGAAGTCAACAGGCACTGAGTTTTCACCCTTTTACAACAATGGACTTTGGCATTTGGGACCATTGAATCTGGATTGAAAACATTACTGTAGCAGTGAAAGATAATCAGGAGATAGTGGTTATACCTGAGTACCAGAACCATACCAGAGGAGCAGGTAATGAATCATAACTGAACTTCAGCTCATGCTGCACAAAGGAAAACTCTTTACCCTGAATGTCCTTTCAGAGTCAGTCAGGAATGATAAAGGGGGCACCCTTGGGAGATGGGTGGGTGGTACAGGGTGGTTGACTATCGTGACCATTGGGTGTGCCACAGTGGCTGTTTTGTTGGCCCAGAAGGAAGCCAGTTGATCCTGGTGTCAGAGCAGAGCCATTCTTTCCTCCTGAGTGAAACTATTTCTCTTCCGCTTCCCTCATAGGAGCCTATGGTAGCATACGGTTTAAAATACTGCATTCTAGGGTAACTTGTGATCGCTGGGACTGTGTCTCATAGTGACTGGCCCTGTGACTATGCAATGGGAGGCATCTTTGAGAATGGCTGTGTCATCTACTACTACTCGATCTACTTCCATGCTTTTAGTGGGCCTCCCAAGGAGGTGAAAGGTGATAGAGCCCATTCTGAGGTGTCTTCTACACAGAACTACTTTTCCCAGGAGAGAGCCCTATCCTTTCCTTCCTTTACCCCGAAGGCTTTACACTAAAAACAGGACCTGGATCTAAACCTGAATACCAGCAGGACTGCCCCGGATTTGGAAAAAATCTGAGCCCCTAAGATGCAAAGCTTTTGAATGCAGTGGTGATTGATTAGCCAGTGGCAAACTCAGTGTGGGAAGCTGGCTTTACTAAGGCAACTAATGCTGAGATCGGGGTAGAGTTGTTGGAGGCAGGTTAGTGGGGAGGTGGAGTACAGATAGCTGGAGTGCTTGGGTTACCATGGAAACTGGAGTGTGTGAGGCCAAAGCCGAGCTAACGAGCCATTGAGCATTCCTCTGACATGTGTAGGGACCAGCACGACCTGTCAGGAAAAATATACCCTCACTTGGCGGGGACTGTCTTCAGAGCAAAGTTTGCCTTTGCTCTGTCCCTGAGCTCCCTCAAAAACCTAACCAGGTTTCTTAAGAGAAGGTTTCACCATTTTTTCTTTCTCATTCTTGTTTGACTATATATATGTAATATATGTGTGTGTGTAATGGTAAAGAAACATATGCATTTTGTTTTATATTCATGTAATATCTTGAAATTAAATTTCTTTTGTTTCATATCCGTAGGCTTTGACTGGTCTCTCATTCACATTTTGATGGATGGATTATTTTGAAGAGAAATAGCCTCTCATTCTGAGCAATGGGAGGCCTCTAAGAGACTCCTTTTTTACTTGTTTTCCAGCTGGGTGGGCAGGTAGGGTCAGAAAGCAGGGTTTTAAGCAGATAAGAAATGAGATTAGAGCTCCTGGGCTTCTGAGCTTCCTGATTTCCTGTGCCTGAGTTTCGAATGAGTTGCACTGATCTCAGTTTCTCACATGGCCTTTTATTTCCTCAGTTAAACATGCGCTGGGTATAGCAGTGCACACCTGTAGCCCCAGCTATTTGGGAGGCTGAGGCAGGAGGATTGTAAGTTCAAGGCCAGCCTGGGCAACTTAGGGAGCCCCTGTCTCAAAATATAAAAGTGCTGGGGATGTAGTCCAGTGCCTCTGCACTTGCCTAGCATATGTTAGTCCCTGTGCTCAATCCCTCATACTACAAAACAAAAAAAATGAAGGAGGGGGTGAGAGGATGATCGTTACGGTAACGGTTGATATTTTCATATGGGAACAGCAGGGGCAGTATTAGATAAAATTGTTTCATTGTTTCCGCTACTTTCTTAATCCATCCAGAGTGCCATAGACTTCTAAATATGAACTCCTGAGAGCAGTGGCATATGTGTATAGTTTCAGCTACTTGGGAGGCTGAGGTGGGAGGATTACTTGAGCCCAGGAGTTCAAGACCAGCCTGGACAACATAGCAAGTGCCCTTCCCACAAATCAAACCAAACCAGAACAAACCATAAACCCACAGATTTATTTCTCACTATCTGGAGGCTACAAAGTCTAAGATAAAGGAGCTAGCAAGTTTGGTGTCTGATGAGGTCTGCTTCTAGTCTTGTAGACTGCTCTCTTCCCTATAATTTCACATGGTGGAGGCGGTGAAGGATCTCTTTGGGGCCTCTTTTAGAAAGGCATTA